TCGTATCCAGAGTCATATCCAGATCGTCAGCATCGCGTGGTTGATTGGTAACCATCCGATTCCAAGTCATGGACTTGTCACGCCCACGAGTAGCCGAAGTCCTCGATCGTGCTGAAGAGCTTCTCGAAGATGATGGTCTTGACTTCTTTTCCAAGGTCTTGACTCCTTTGTCCTTGGCCCTGGACGTAGTCCGAGGTGCCTGAAAACCAGACGCTTCGGCCCGTCGTTCTGAAGCCTTGCCCGTCCTCGAACCTGTGGATGTCGGACGCGAAGGCGTAGATGCTCTTGGTAGACTCTTTGCTTTCCCCTTGGGAACTGCCTTTGCAATGGCAAGCGCAGAAGATTGACCTTTGTCATCTTCCGTGGAGCTATCAACGGATTGCACCACTGTGTCGTCAGCTGTTGACTCACCAACGGCTGGCGCTGCCACATCGGCACCGAAAGTCATTGTCGTATCTTGGCTTGATCCTGAGTTCATTGTGGTCGTAGTAGATCAAGTAGTCGTTGCTGTAGAAAGGCAGAGCCGCGTACGGCTGATAACCTGCGTGGGGGATTGATCTCGACTTGGTTGCTGCTCTCCCCACCAGAGCTGTAATGAATGTAGGTGTGGCTGGCTAGCACTCTCCACAGACTGGACCCTGTCTCTCCCTCTTACTTCCACACGTGCAATCCTATGCAGGCAGAACCGGCGGCCGTTCCTTTTGCACTCACTGCCGGCGGCGGTTCGTCTGTGCAACGGGATAGCTCTGATTGCTCAGGATAGAAGACACATATAGCACTTAGCTATGGGCATTGACTTGAGCCAAACGTTGCGTTGGCGGTCACATAGAAAGGTAAAGATGAGGGATGCGTAGCATGCCCCCTGGAGTCGAGGGACGCGTAGCGTGCCCCCTTCTCTTGCACTTTACACGGTCTTGCTCACAGCTCTTATAGTGACACCTTAGAACTTGACAAGGCATCGCAGTCCGTTCGCACTTCCAGTAAACCTTCAACATACTTCGTGTTCATCATGATCTTAACATCGCCGTTGTTGCTTGACTTGAAACTTCTTTTCAGAAAACTCATAGATCCTTCTTCCTCATCCAGAGGTCCTGCAACCTTGATCTTCAATCCTTTGCTTCTGAGGAATTCCACCAAACTCTTGAACTCTTCTCTTGATGCATATAACTCCATATCATCAACATGAATCAAAGCGATAATCCCGTGACCGTTCTTCTTCGGCATCCTTGCGAATAGTGCTGGTCATCCGGTCGCTTTGTAACCCGTACTCCTGCAGATAACTCTTCAACTTGTTAAACTGTTAAACCATGCACTGCTGCCGATTCGCTGTCCAGGTAGCGTGAACCCTAGTTCATAAAATTCGCCCTCTACTTCAGCAATCGTTGGCTCTTCTTGCTCCACCATAAGATAGGCGTCACCAACATCGATGCTTCCCAACGTGTATCCTTCAGATGACGTAGACAGGGCTGAAAGTAGCTTCACCGTGCTTGCTACACCAGTTGGCGAGAATAAACTTGCAATGTCTGTGTCACCTAGCCATCGAAACTCTCTGGCTACTAGTTACTAGTCTTCCTCTTCTTCGCCACTCTTTGTCCCTGGGTCTCCAATCGTACACTACCTTCGTAGACAAACTTGTACTTTGTCATGTCTGCATCTTCTGGCAGTTTCTTCAACACTTTCATCTCTGTCAACCTTTCAATCTCATGCTCTCTGGACACACCATCCACTTAATCTTGGTGGTCCGCTCTCGAAATCATTCGACCATGTTGGCATTCCTTCTGGCACGTCTTCTTCTCCATCTGATTTATGAAACTCTTCGTCATCAAACTCTGCCTCTAATCCTTCAAAATCATCCAGTTCTTTTTCTTCATCATCATGATACTGTGGTTCTTCCTTTCTTAGGAATGACTCAATCTCTTTTACACTTCTTGAAGCCATGATTCTTCTCACACTGCTTGATGCTTCACCTTTCTGTACTTTCTCTGGCCGCTCTTGAATCTCAGTTGTTCCTTCATCCATGCTCTGTCGTACAGCTTCTGATTCCTCAACTTGACCTTCAAGGTTCCTCTTGGGTGAAGTGGGTGGTTCGTCACCAGGAATCAACTCTTCCGACTCTTCGCTCGTCGGCACACTTCTTTTTCCAGCTCCGCGTCTGCTGCTGTCACTACTTGCACTCGATTGGCCCATTTGACCTTCACCTGGATCCTCATTCTCATCATCGCTTGGTGGATCGCTTGCTGCTTCATCCGGTCCTGGTCCGTTCCCAGGATCACTTGGACTGTATCCACTTACTTCCTTCTCCTTGATCTCTTCTTGGTACCGACCTTGGTGCCCCTCCTTCAATTGCTCGTTCAATTCCACTATCCGGAGGTAGCCTTTTCATTGGCTTTCGGCCAACTAACACATCTTGTGTGTAGTTCCAAGGCGTTCCTGTTGCCTCGGCAAGTATCTCAACATTGAACGTTGGCGTACACTGACGCATTGTCCTGCACTTTGATAATTCCTTTCCTTGTGCTCACCAAATTCAAGTTGCTTACAGCATCTTTTCCAACAAAGATTCCTTTTCTCCATGGTTCACCTTTCTCCTTCACTCTTGGTAATGGCTTTGCCAAAACAACACTTCCCAGGGTGCCAATATACCTTTGTACTCTCGATCAAATAACATGTCAAACTGGTGTCTTCCCCTTTCTTACAACAAACCTGTTCAACAAGCATGCTGCATGTCTTGCTGCCCATGGGTAAAGCGTGCTTTCCGATGTGATTTTCACCTTTGCTTCAGTTTCAACACCATACACCAAAGTCTTTGATAAGTTCCTCGCCGTTTGGACCCATCGTTCCACCTGCAATGCTTGGTGTTCATCAGGTGGTGCATCTTGTATCTCTGTCTCCAAGTTCTTCAGCTTCCTGATTCCTTGCACTTTTCTCCTCAAAGAAATCATTGATGGTTCTGTGTCTGTCCTTACGATCACCTTCGAATTCAACAGCATCAATACTCTGCAAACTTCTTCAACCAAGTACGCTGTTGCTTCTTTGCTTGCAACCGCTATTGCTTCTTTGCTTGCAACCGGTATCACATGAACAAACTTCGTTGCTTGATCTACCATAACCAAACCGATTGTCAGACACCTCGAAATTATCTTCTCTCGATCTTGTTGCTTGACAACTTTCACACCAATCTGCTTTTGGTAAGTGCGTAAGCTCATGCTTCTTTCTCTCTTCTTCACTCGGTGGTTCAGTTCTCTTCTCTCCCTTCGGTTTTCTCTCAAACTCCACTTCTAGACCCTTGGAAATCTCCACCAACTCTTTCATTTTGCTTGCTGCCATGCTCTCCTTGAGTCTCTTCCAGACTTGAGCTTTGCTTCCTGTTTTTCCAATCTTCAAGAACTCACATGCCTCTCTCAGCTTCTTGAGGGTGCTTTCTGGGGTGAGTTCAGCTCCTGCAACAATCATTGCTTCTTCCTCTTTCTCTCTCAACTTGGGCAATTGGTCTTCGATCTTCATCTCTTCCGCGCTTGGTGCCTCTGAGGGAAATAGGTCTTCCATAGCCTTCTTGTTTTCCTCTTCCAATTCTGCAATGGTTTTCTTCTTCTTTTGTTCTGGATGTCCTTTGTCTTCAGTTCCCATTTCAACATCCTTTCCAGTTCCTTTCTCTTTCTCTTGCTCATGCTCTCCTTTCTTCTTCTTTGGTCTTTCGTAATCAAGGAGGTTGTGAGAAATAGATCTGGAGATTTGGAGACATCCCGCGTTGACATACACTGTCGGCAACCTGCTGACAATGTTATGATCAAGCAAAGCGTGGCGAATACCAAGAGTGACAGAAAGCATCCGATGCTGTGTCGATTTCCGGAAAAGACTTGCTCCTGAGTTTATTGGATATGTTCCAATCTGTGCTGCCCGAATCGACATAGTTGATCTGATGTACATCTCCAGGATCTTTCTTCCTCACAGTTGCCCACGCAGGGAAAGCTTCATTGGGCCTTGTTCCGACTTTGTTCTTTTTGGCGTGGGCGGGCCTCAAAGACAGCAGGTAGCTGCACTCGGTCCCAGTAAGAACTACAATAATGCCAAGAACAAAATCAACTGTACAAAGAAAGACGATGCATAATTTAGAATTCCGGAGGTTGAGTTGTACAGACGGATCACTTCTCATACCTGATGCAGTGCACGGTTCAAGACGTGGAGGGCTGCACACCTTTAGGAAACAGTCATGGCATGAAGCTGTAGGCTAAATCAAGCCGTATACAGTGAACTGCATGCCGTGGTCCCCGAAAAAGGAATCGTGAGTCTTTGTGCGTGCGCTCATGGTCTGCTGAAGCCACGGAGTTTTCTTTCAGGAGATACAGGCTCCGGGTGCTGGTTAGAACCATGGGTGGAAGAGACGACCTTAATCCCAATCTTGAGGATATGCCTTCTGGTGAGTCTGGAACTGGGAATTTCAGCAGGGAGGCGACAACTCACGCTGAGAGGCACGAGGCTCTGGCATCCTCTGGGGGTTCGATCCCACAAGTTTACACACCCTTGGCAATGGCTCAGAACTGGGTAGTCTAAACCCAAGGGTCCTTAGGGTCTCAAGGTCTGCGCTTGGGAGCCCATAGGATCCTAGGGGGCTGTAACCCGCTATAACCCAATTGGTTGCCTCTCCGAGGGCGTGGCGACACTTTGGATTGAAGCTCACAACTCCTTGACCCACTGGGGCTGACTGCCCCATCACTTCGTGACCATTCTTCCCTTCACTCAACAGCTCACCCTTGACATCTTTGGCTTGCAGATCCGTCTCTCCTTCATTGGAAGCCACCCAAAGTTTCCTCGACGTGACGTGGGAAACACAATTCATTGTCCCCGGCTCGTTGCGCACATCAACATGAGGAGCCACACGGTCTGCTGTCATGACAAGGATCGCAGTCCATTCTCCTTGGTGAGGATTGTGGTTGTTGGCACGAAGGTAGTGGTTGAGGTACTTGCATAAGGTGGGATGAAGTCGGCTGGCACGGGTAATCCCTTTAATACCTCCATGGCAATAGGAACCTAGCACCGTTGAGAAACTCACTGGCCCCCCTGTGCTCCCGCTTGGTGCCTCCGGTAACACCCTCGAACGCCATGCTCAACAGCCGACCACAATCGTCGGCGGAGCAGGCCTGGTCCCTCAACAGCTCTTCAGCAAGAGCTTCCGAAGCGAGTTGAACTGCCTTCACGGCTCTTTTGCCCGTGATCCTCCGCTCAGGGACCTTCGGGGCGTCTTTGCTAGGCAAGCTGTCCTCTAGCTCAGCCTCCAACATATCGGCTCCGAGCTCGGTTTCCGGATCAAACAACTCCTCGGTGGTACGTACGTTCTTTGCCACTAAGAAAGCATTGGATGCTGCTCGCAACAGCAAATGGCCTCCCTCTGTCCTTGTGGTAGGATGTAGGTACACGCCATGCTCCCACCTGATGAAGGGTCTCTTGCTCTTGCCCGTTGGGTGCTTGCTCTTGAACACCACCTTCTGGCCGAACCTAGGGACACGACCTTCTCTGCACAACAACCGATGTCGGTGTTCAGCACAAGCAAACTCCATAGCTGAAGGCCATTTTTCAACCCCATGCCCGACGATGCCAAATGCAATCGAGCCCTTGCTTTCACCCACCCAACCAACCTCTCGGCCAAACCGTTGGACTTAGGGTCATCCCCTTGGGTGAAGGAGGGCTGAATGAGTTGAGACTGCAACCAATCCATGATGCCTTTCGACATTAAATCCTTCGCCCGGTCCGTGTGGACCACTTGGACGGGGTAGCCACTCCGGTGGCACTCAGTAACAACCTCTTGGAGGCCTGCCAAGATGTGTGCACCATGACGGCTTTTGATCGGGACCACAAACCTCAAGACCTTGTTGGCACCTGTGAAAGCTCCCTTGCACACGAGTTCATCAAACTCTTCATCCGACATGGCCGCTACATTGTGTTTGTCCTCCCACGGATCATCATCATCACCCGGTTCCTTCACGGCTTCCTGGGATGGGTTGTTCTCTGGCGGCTCCTCCTGAGGTGCGCCCTCAACTTGCTCCTCGTTCGAAGGCTCTGGCAACTCAAGGCCGTCACGCAACCAACTAGCCTCTGAACCTGAGTCCTCACCTTCAAGGCCTTCGGCTGCTTTCACAACGGCTGCAAACTTAGAGTAGTGCACACCGCTATCGACTTGGGCTGAACCTGGCACTCCTGAAGGCATGGCACCTGCAGCTGACTGTTGTTGCTCCACCGGGCAAATGGGCTGATGATCGACCTCACCCAGGGGTGGTCAACCTCCTGCGAAGCTACAACCTGAGTCTGAGACAAAGGTATACCTTCACCCTTAGCTATCGAAGCTAAAGTCCACAACCATAGGGGCTGCAGCCCAGCAAGGGTATCTGCATCAACTCTGTCCTGCATGGACCTTGTGTTGTCCGGACAACCCCATGGGTGGTCAGCACTCCGAAATTTCACATGCTGACTGGTTGCTACCTGTATGTCACTCCAGGTCTTCATTGAAGCTCCCGCCACGATGGCTGAAACACGCCCAGAGTAGCAAGCCCACGACAGGGCCTCCCACACGGAAGGGTCTGAGCAGCTGACCTTGAACTCAGCCACAACACCAACTCTACACCCCGTTGTTCACACATCTGACAACGGGTCAACTGGTCCAGGAGCTTGATTGATTGAGAAGCCAGCAGTGGGATTGGTACAACCTTTTCCTTCTGCGACGGTTGAGAGGCAACCCTTTTAGCACCTCCCATCCATTTACACCATCAAACAAAGTGGCCAACCCATCGACCAACTTCCGCGGCACCTGACTCAGGAACGGAAGCACATGTGCAAAGGCCACTGCAGCGTCGTAGCTTCCTGTGCTGACAAACTCATCGTCTGGGAGGTGACTCGCCGAAGAACTCTGTAAGTGGTTTCATGAGGGTAAAGGGTGTCGAAGAGGCAAAGAGTGCAACCGGTCGGACAGTGCATTCTGCAGGGGTCAAAGCCATCGAAGAGATGCATGCTCGAACGCTCCAGGCCAGGCGAAGTGTGATGACGGCACAACAGAGGAGGCCCTTCCAAGCATTCTAGAGAACAGCTTCCGGAATTGGCTCCGTAATTCGAGCGTTCTTTTGGCCCATGTGTTGCAACGATGTCCGACGTGGAAGCACCTCCTGTTCCTCCCCTCAAAGAGTGGAGTTGCCGCAGGAGTGTAGAACGTCCTTCGTAAATAAATGGTCCTTCCTCGTCTGCCTGTTGCTAGGAGACTTTGTCCGCCCGTCTGGCCCGCCTGCGACAGGAGCGTCAGGATGCAAAGGTGTGGTATTGTCTGCGTGTCTACAAGATGTCTTGATTGTCTTTCGTCCAAAGCAGGTAGAAGCGCGCGTAGAGTCGCTAAGATCCTGAAAGCAGAGCAAAAACGACTTTGCAAGGCATGGTTCTGTCTGCTGCCCCGTCGAATGTAGATGTTTGAACTTGCCCAGGCCAAAACAGTAGCACGGCAGCTTTCTGAATCGCAGTAATTAACCCTTGTCGTTTCTCGCACGATGGCGCGAATGTTTTAACGCGCATTGAGCCCGGCACTGAGAGTGATCAGCGGTCAGTGAGCTTCGCTGTCGCCTCTCTGGTGTTGAACTGTTGCCCCAGCAGCGAGTATCTGTTGAGCAGTGACTAAGCTCTGCCAGCTTTTAGTACGTGAGTCAGTGAGTGTGAATGAGTGAGCTTAGCTGCGACGAACGGCTGCCTGCAGCGCGTAAATTCTTCTTCGGTGTCGGGTGAGCAGTGACCAAGCTTCGCTCTTTCTTTTCAAAGGGAATGAATGTTTACGGCTTTGAGCCCGGCGCTGAGAGTGGTCAGCGGTGCGAGCCCTGCCGAAGCAGTGGGTGAGAGTGCTTGGCTGTGGCCCGAACTGTTGCGTGGCAGCTAGTAACTTCTTCGTCTTCGGTTGAGCGTGAGCGGTTCAGCAGTGTGCAAGCCTTGTCTGAGGCAGAGCACGAATGTTTTACGGGCTTTGAGCCTGGCACTAAAAGCGATGACTCTGCGGAGTGGGGTTTGCCATCTGGCAATGAGGTCTGCCATCTGAGCCAGTGAATGTATGAGCATTGCCCAAACTGTTGCCTGAGCAGCTGGTAAACTTTCCGGCTAGTCAGTGACGAAGCCTTGCTTTGACGTAATCCCAGCCTTCTTTTTCTGAAGGCCACAAAACGTGGTTGCGTTGCGGTGTAGGGTTTAGGATGAGTAAGTGAGCCTTGCTGTAGTCCATGTGGGCAGCCAAAACTCTTTGTTGACATCTAGCAGGTTTTTCCGAATGCACGAATGTGAGCCCGTCATATCATGCTCATTCGCTTCTGAAATGTTGAGCCTGTTGCAAGGTCGAAGCTGAGCGCCGTAGTCTTTTACGTAGAGCAACGCGCAGCATGGGAAATCTGGATCCGAAATTGTCCGCTTGCAGAAAGCTAGGACAGGCAGACTCTATTGATCCGCCGCAGTTTGATTCGAGATTGTATGCTGCAGGGTGTGAGGATACAGACGAGGGAACCTGAACGAGCCCAGAGGTGGCGGGCAAATGATTTCACCCTTAGGACAAAGCCGGTGGTATAATACTCAGCTGCCAACTGAGTTTGATTGACTCCGGCATGTCTGGGACCTTCCACCGTTCTAATAGTGTTATACTACCCAAAGGGTGTGTAAGTGGGTTCCCTTGGTTTTTGCAGCAGATGGGGTGGGTTCCCTGTGGGTTCCCTTGTTTTTTGCAGCACTTCAGGTGGGCTACATATGGGTTCCCTTGTTTTTTGCAGCATTTCGGGTGGGTCTGTGTATGTTCTTCATTGAGCTTTCTTGTAGATTCCCATGGTTTTTGCAGCATGGACGGTGGGTTCCCTGTGGGTTCCCTAGTTTTTGCAGCATTTTTAAATGGGTTCCCATGGTTTTTAACAATATCGACGGTGGATTCTGTGGTTCCCTTGTTTTTTGCAACACTTCAGGTGGGCAACATATGGGTTCCCTGTTTTTTTGCGCATTTCGGGGTCTGTGTATGGCTTAGTCTTCCATGGTTTTTGCAGCATGGACGGTGGGTTCCCTGTGGGTTCCTTAGTTTTTGCAGCATTTTTAAGTGGGCTCCCATGGTTTTTCACCGTCGATACGGTGGGTTCTTGTTTGGTTCCCGGGTTTTTGCAGCATTTGAAGTGGGTTCCCATGGTTTTCCAATAGGCTCTTTTGGCTTTTGCAGCATGTCAGCTGGGTTCCCTGTGGGTTTCCTAGTTTTTTGCAGCAGTTTTAATGGGTTCCCATGGTTTAACAGCATCGACGGTGGATTCCCTGTGGGTTCCTTGCTTTTTGCAGCATTGCAAGTGGGTTCCCATGGTTTTCCCAGCATATATTGCGCAAAGGTCTGGGCGGGCTCCCTTGGCTCTTGCAGTGTGTCAGCTCGGTTCCCTGTGGGGTACATGTGGGTTCCCATGGTTTCTCCAGCTCGCGCATTATGTTTCAGAGAAGAGTGGAACTGAAGAAGATGTTCAGGACAGTGGCTGCAGGTGTGGCCCAGTTCCATCGCACATCTTGCGCTGCATTTGGATTTGCTGCTTTGAAGTAAGGCTGCAAAAAGCACGTCTGCTATCTGCAGTTTGGGTCGAGACCAAAGACGTTAAACAGGCTCACCTCTGATGCACATGAGGCTCGCCGCCCTCCTGTGGTAATGCTCTTGATAAGTTTGCTGCAGCTAAATGCTGGCACGCTGATGCGAGGATTTTGCGGCATCTACTGGTAGATGTTAATCTCAGCTTGTAGCTTCAACTGTTTCGATTGCTTGCTGTACGTGGGCTGTTTTTGCGCTGGGAAGCTCCACTTGCAGGAGCTCTTTTTTCCTACAGAATCGTAGGAAGCCTCGAAGGGCCTCCCCTGTGCGGGAAAGATCTTGTACGAACAAGAACAGAAGCACTTGTCTTGAAACGGCAGCCGATGGCAAGTTTGGCAAATTTTCCAAAAGTATCTCACATTTCACAGCATGTTGGCTTTCTTGGACGTTGATCCAAACAGCATGCGGAAGGAATTTTGTTTTTCCGTGCAGTTTTCCAGCTGAAACGGGTTCCAAAAAGCAGCTCTAGTCCGGGCACCGAAACGGGGCTCCCGATTTTGGCTTTCTTCGTTGGACATACAAGCTCACGCAATTCGGGGCCCCAGATTAGAGCTCAGATTTGGGAGCCATTTCTGGGGCCCAGTTATGCCGTTTTTTCGTCGAGCAGATGCCACATCTGCGTGCACAGCTGGCCGTTGCGTGCAACAGTATATAAACCTCGCCAGCTCTGTTTTGCATTTTGCCGGTGTTCCTTCAAAACTCAAAATAACAAGTGGAACGCTCGCAAACATGTGAACCTTGCAAACAGAACTTTCTCACACAGAGGAGGCCCTTCCAAGCATCCTAGAGAACAGCTTCCGGAATTGGCTCCGTAATTCGAGCGTTCTTTTGGCCCATGTGTTGCAACGATGTCCGACGTGGAAGCACCTCCTGTTCCTCCCCCTCAAAGAGTGGAGTTGCCGCAGGAGTGTAGAACGTCCTTCGTAAATAAATGGTCCTTCCTCGTCTGCCTGTTGCTAGGAGACTTTGTCCGCCCGTCTGGCCCGCCTGCGACAGGAGCGTCAGGATGCAAAGGTGTGGTATTGTCTGCGTGTCTACAAGATGTCTTGATTGTCTTTCGTCCAAAGCAGGTAGAAGCGCGCAGAGTCGCTAAGATCCTGAAAGCAGAGCAAAAACGACTTTGCAAGGCATGGTTCTGTCTGCTGCCCCGTCGAATGTAGATGTTTGAACTTGCCCAGGCCAAAACAGTAGCACGGCAGCTTTCTGAATCGCAGTAATTAACCCTTGTCGTTTCTCACACGATGGCGCGAATGTTTTAACGCGCATTGAGCCCGGCACTGAGAGTGATCAGCGGTCAGTGAGCTTCGCTGTCGCCTCTCTGGTGTTGAACTGTTGCCCCAGCAGCGAGTATCTGTTGAGCAGTGACTAAGCTCTGCCAGCTTTTAGTACGTGAGTCAGTGAGTGTGAATGAGTGAGCTTTGCTGCGACGAACGGCTGCCTGCAGCGCGTAAATTCTTCTTCGGTGTCGGGTGAGCAGTGACCAAGCTTCGCTCTTTCTTTTCAAGGGAATGAATGTTTACGGCTTTGAGCCCGGCGCTGAGAGTGGTCAGCGGTGCGAGCCCTGCCGAAGCAGTGGGTGAGAGAGCTTGGCT